TCCGCCGATCCCCCCTCGTCGCGTGATGCCCCCGCGCCGCCGCTTGTCGTGGTGGGGTCGGCGAACGCCGACATATACGTGGAGATCGACAGGCTTCCCAGAGAGGGGGAGACGATCTCGGCGAGGACAGGACAGACACTCGCCGGAGGCAAAGGCGCAAACCAGGCTGCGTGCGGCGCGAAATTGCGGTACCCGACTTACTTTGTCGGGCGTCTCGGCGACGACGCGAACGGGAAGCTGATCGCGGAGGCTTTGGGCGGAGGGTGTGGGGTCCACCTGGACTATGTTCGGTCGGGGACGGAGGCGCCGACGGGGCACGCGGTGGTGATGCTGCAATCGGACGGTCAGAACTCGATCATCATCGTCGGTGGGGCCAACATGAGTTCGTGGTCTGAGAATCTTTGTGATGATGATCTTGAGGTCGTGAGGAATGCTGGGGTTGTTCTGCTACAGAGGGAGATTCCAGATTTTGTGAATATCCAGGTTGCAAAGGTCAGTGATTTGATCATATTTCACATTGTGATTTGTCTGATTTCTGATCAAAGATTGTTGCCTGTCTTTGCTTCGTTTTGGCTTATATGTCTGTTCTGCATTCTGTACATGATCTTAAGAGTTGAAATCTGGTTCTAGGTTTCGCAAATTCTTGTATCTTGATAAGTAGAAACTTGTCTCCATTAACTTTTTAGTAAGTTGGATGACAACCCGAATGAGTGTGGCGATCATACTTAAGGTTCTGATACTAGTTTGTCTTCAATTCGATGTGTCCTAAGCTTGGTGTATATGTTTTGGGTTCTCATCTTCATAAATTTAGGTGCTTGAAATTACAGATTGAATGTAAATTTGCTAAAGCTCAGGTCATTCTGATCGAGTAACTTATGGTGCTGCTATTGCATTTGCAGGCTGCGAAGAAAGCAGGTGTACCAGTCATCCTTGATGTGGGAGGAATGGATGCGCCTATCCCTCAAGAGCTATTGGATTCCATTGATATCCTGAGCCCTAATGAAACCGAGCTGGCTCGCCTGACCGGAATGCCAACTGAATCATTTGAACAGATTAGCCAAGCCGTGGCTAAGTGCCATAAGTTGGTAAGTCAGAAATGATAGAGAGATAGAGATAGAGAGGGGTATAGGATCTGGTCTGTAGCTCTAACTTGCCAATAGCTCGAGGCCATAGATACAAGCTTCCAAGTCTAATGTCGGGTCTAACGAGATCTAATAAGCATGGAAATTTAGTTGACAAAGGCTTGGTTACTTCTATTCGTTAAAAGGGTTGTTTAGTTTAGTCCATAGCTATCTTTAGAAGTAACATGCCCAGTTTTTGGTAGGATTTTCGGTTGATGAGGGTAGGTTATTTGATGCAGGGAGTTAAGCAAGTGCTAGTGAAGCTTGGCTCCAAAGGATCTGCCCTATTCATAGAAGGGCAAAAACCGATCCAACAAGGTATAATACCGGCACCACAGGTTATCGATACAACAGGAGCCGGCGATACTTTCACTGCAGCCTTTGCGGTGGCCATGGTGGAGGGAAAGTCACATGAAGAATGCTTAAGATTTGCCGGTATTACTCCATCTTATAGCATCTAAGTTTTACTCTTTTTTTATGTTCTAAACTTAATGATTTCGCTCTCTGTTCCCGCAGCCGCAGCCGCCTCTCTGTGTATTCAAGTAAAGGGAGCGATACCCAGCATGCCTGATCGAACATCGGTTATGAACCTTGTTGAATCTAAGTAGCTATCGGTGAAAGTCTTACTCTTCTTCGCACGAATAAAGCCGGTTCCTTTCATGGATTGCATTGCTTTTACGTTTGTGTTGAAATCTATAAATCAACACAGTTGGGCTTTGTCTCTGATGTATACATCTCCTTTCGTGTTTTTCTTTCGTCGACCTTTCCTGATCATCGTCAAGTCTTTTGTCCTCCGTCTTCTCTGTCTGAATCTTGGTTCGGTCCTGTCTATGGTATGTGTGTGTATTGTTACACTTGAGGCTTGTAAGGTTATGCGACATGGTTGCTTCTGTCTTTCTCTCTGTGTTTTCTTGTCGAACTCGATGTTGGCCCGTTCAATTTGGGTATTCATATATATATATATATATATATATATATATATAAACGATGTCGTTTCGGTTTGGAATGTGAATGCAACAAGATTCACCAAATACGTAATGGTCGTGTAAAAAAATAAAGGAACAAAAGTTTTGTGGTTCTCGCGAGGAGATTCTTTTTATCCGCTATTGGAAGAATTTCTGAACAGAATCTATTTTATTGCAATATATATATACATGTGCGTGTGTACGCTCGTACGTACGTTTGCATGGGTTGCATTGTATTTTACGTGTGTTCGTATGCAGAATGCATGTAAGTTATGTTTCGGTTTCATCGAGGATGACACTTTTAGGCTCGTGAAGTTTTTATTTGGTTTGGTTTTTATAATAGAATACGGCCATTAATTCTACGTCTTATTTTATAAAAATATTCATTTCCGAGAGAAATCATGGCTATAACATTAGAAGGTTGTGAGGTTGAGATTTCCTAATTAAATTTTAAACGACGACGTTTTAAGATAACCAAAACAAATTATAATAGAAAGTAGGAATTAAATGCTTGGTGTTCTATGTCTTGTCAAAACTTAATAATGGCTCGATATCATTTGTAGGAAATATGCAACCAAGCAACCTATTATTTTACTAGAAATAAAAGTTCCCGTACCACTATATATAATATAATACACACAGCTCTATATATATATAACATCACTGTTTATGTAACATATATACCTATTATTATAATTCAATATTTACAGATGAAAAATAATCTTTTTCTTTTGCTAAAATCATTATCTAAAGAATAAATCTGAACTCGAAGTAAATTTACGTCAACTCCCTAATAATGCATATGAGAGAAATGCTTCGAAAAACAGCTAAAGAAAGAACAATAAAAGAAATGGCGAAATAGACGGTCCAAATCGATTAGGGAAGTTTTCAAACAAAAAAAAAGTTTATATTCCAATTGAGGTCTATAACTTCTTGGTTCTACGTACTGAAAAAAAAAACTACACTTGGCGAAATTGAATAGCAAAATGGTATATCATATGATATATATATATATATTGTTTGCTTATATGCATATTATAATTGGTTATAGTAGTTTGGTTATTTTTTGTTTGATTACGGAAATATAATCTGTACAAACTCTCTTATGAAGAATACAGAAAAAACACAAGTGATCGGTTCATATTTGCTCTCACCTCTTCTTTGTCTCTTAATTATTTTCTGAATTATCTTTCTTTTTCTTTGTATAAACATAAAAATCTTTAATTTGAATTCGAATGAAATATAAAGAACAGAATTTTAAAATAATATATAAACACCTTTATCAATAAAAATAAAATCCCAACAAAAATCAATCCGAATAAGATTAGACATAAAATCTAAGAAGATATAACTATTTAAAAATAAAAAAAAATACAAATCCAAACTAACATCCAAAGCATTACCTATATTTTTATCCATAAAATTTCAATGGAATGGACTTCGAAAGCAACATCTAAAGCCGGTGTGGAAAAAATCACACCGAGATATTTGGGAACTTAACTTTATACTCCTAACGCCTTTTTTCCCAAATGTTTTCCTCAACTTTTTAGTATCATAGATCGATATTTGTCAAACCCTTTCTTAATAATATATGATCTAAATGATATTTAATTTCATAAGACAATAAAAAGCGATGAAACGCGATGCAAATCGTATATCCCGTCCCCGTTCGAATATCAAGTTTAGGGATAAAACATATATATATTCCACATCATGTGGTTGACTCCCAATCTTGAGATTAAGATACCGATTACCAACAAAAAAAGTGATGAACTGCGTCAAATGCTGAGAAGATTTCCTCACCACACCACCGCCACTAACCATCAGCATCTCCCATTTTAGTTTTGCGGGATGAAAAGAGCACCATTGTTTCTAAATAGTCAACTTGATTTTTGTTTGCCCTATTCGAGATTTGATTAATTCTAATAATAGAATTTGGAATTTTAATTAAAATTAAAGGGTCCTTTTTTAAAAACCATCATGAGTTTTTTAAAATTCCAAGCAATGGAGAGATTAGTAAGCATTTTTCATAATTAAAAGTAATTAGTAAACATTTTTTTGTTTTGTTTTTAATAAGTGGTATTGCGCAGTTGACTTTTTTTGCACTATTTTATTTTTCCTTTTTTGCACTATCTAGTGACATTGTTTGCATGTGTTTCCATTTCGAGTGGGGAAAAAAGGAATTGGATATTTTGGGTTGGGGGAGAGAGATATTTGAAGGATTTAATTAGTGAATATTCGAAACGTCCAATAATTTATTTGTGCAATGACAAAGAAAAAAAAATCTAACAAAAGAGGCCGACCGTCAAATATCTTTCACAAAAAAAAAAAGACAAAATAGTATATTTTAGTTAATATGTATTTTGGAGTGGAGAGGTATCTTGTGTCCTCTCTGTCTGCCTCTATTTTTTTATAATGTCGAATTTTATTGGACCTTTAGTCCGGTTACGTCTTATAAAAAATCGGAGAAATCTATGTAAATATCATTTTCCAAATGAGAACTCGAATCCGGGTTGGAAAGAAGTTTTGCTTTCTTTTTTACCGGTTGTCGACCCATCTAATCTTGGGTTGATCCATTCTTAATGCATGTTTATAATTTATTCATCCAATAAGCATCCATAATCATATTTTCTTATGTGTGTGTATATATATATATATACGCATTGATTATATCACGTTAACATTTCCTCACATTTGTAACAAAATAAAACCAAAATGAACGATTGTGATATAAGAATTCATCTGAAATCAATGTTTTAGAATATATGTTAATTTCTAACTATAATTCTATGTCGGGAGAAAATTATGTTAATCAAAGTTTTATAAGTATTATTATATATTGAAGTTGCAGCTGTTTAAGTTTTATTAGCTAATCCAAAGCTAAATCTATTCCAATATATATTTATACTCTTTTATTAACATTCTTGGTGCGTCGATAAAAATCTCGAGCTGCATTATTTGTATGTGTCGTGTTTACTACAACCAACGTGATAAAATTATTCCTCTTTTTATTTCAAAGAGTGAGATTGATGTTTGGACCGACTAAAGTATTTTTAGAATGAGGACATAAATTTGTAGCAGTAATAAAAAAATATCTATAACAGTTCCTTTATATGGAAAGTGTTGTATTTTTCAAATTAACCATTATTTAAAAAAACCCTAATAATGAATTGATTCCAATTTGTGGCCTAAACAAGAAAAATCTAATTAAAAAGCGATTCAATCCAGAAATAAATTTGTTTTATTTAAAACTAACCAGTTGTTTCAAATATAGTTATATAATAACTTGGGTGAAAGGTTGTTCATAACTAGGTTAACACGGCTGGGATAACATATTTCCATACAACTAAAATTGGTTTTCAATAATATATATATATATATATATATATATATATATATTAGTTTAATGTGTACCAATGCTTTCTATTTATTTATTATATTAGTAAATTGCATCAGTAATGTTGTTGTAATGAATTTTTCTATATCAACCATTATATGTGTTGTTACATATATCCAACGTTATACGTAATGTATTTTAATCCTTTATATCTCTTTATTGTATTACTTAGTAATGTTTTGCTATTAATAAATTCTCTACATCCACCATCCATTTATATATCGGAGGTTATTATTTATTCTCACCATTTCTCAATATTTAAGTTGGGATTTTAATCAAGAATTAGCGGTCATGTTTATGATATTTTCTTTGTTCATACAAAAAAAATATTAAAACAATAGATATATGCGGGTCCATTAATTGGATTATTTGATAAAATTACAAACATACAAGCTTCCAAAGTGTGGAGACCCAATCCCGGGTACGTCCTTACAATTTACAACCATAACCATCTCTCCGGCAACTCTCTCTCTCTCTCTCTCTATATATATATATATATATATATATATATATATGTATACGTATATATCTTTCAGACACTTGAACACTAAAACCCTAAGGCTAAAATACATTTTAAAACCCTAAAGCTATGAATTTAATTTTAAACTTATGCTTGCTTCTCTAGTTCTTCTGAGCTTATGAATGTCCCATGAAAACCGTATGGCACTCGAGACGGTAGCTCGACAATGGCTTCCAGCTCTAGAGTCGACGCGTTCACGATTTGCAGTTCCGATCTCCACCTCTTCTCGTCGTGAACGAACACTAGGATCGAACCCTCGTCTTCTTCGCCGGAGATTGAATTCTCCGGCAGAAACAGAGGCTCTCCGCCGTATTTTCCGTCTCCGTATATGTACTTGTGAATCTCGCCGGTGGTTAAGTCCACTTTGGCAAACCCGGAGACTTTTGGCCAGGGTTCGGCTAGTGCCAAGTATGCGAACCTGGTTTTTGTACCGAGAAGATTCCGGTTTACCATACCGGCCTCCAAATTCACTTGCTCTTCGCCAGAGATAACCGGTCGCCGAGTGGATTCGCCGGTTTTCAAGTTTAGCCTTATCTCCGACAAGACGCTCTGTAGATTCTCGTCATGTTCGTTGAAAATGGAGTCCGGAGGAGTCATGCACGACCCGATCACGACGACCTCGTCGGTCTCGGGCTCTTCCCATGCGTTCCAGAGATGGAAACAGAAGCAGTCCGGAGCTTCGATCCATCGGATCGAAGACGAATCTTTCGCGTACTTGTTCAAGACCCCGAATCTCGATTTCTTGTTCTTGTCGTAAATAACAGGGGAACCACCTCGGATCATCTCCGACAACTTGAACACGACTTGTTGGTCGGGGACCACGACGAAGTTCTCGGTGATCGCGAAGTCGTGGATCATAGTCGGTTGGTCCAACGGAATCACGACGTCCGGCGACTTCTCGCCGTCTGGCGTGAACCTGAAGTACCTCAGGTAAGGCTTGGAAACGACGTCGTAGCTTAGAGCAAAGAGTTCTCGGGTTTTCGGGTCGATTTTCGGGTGGGCGATCATCGTCGATTTGAGCTGACCGCAGAAATTGTGGCGTCCCACGGTCTCTAAATCACCGGTTTGAGTGACCCGGACTTGATACGGTAAATCATCTTCAGACATGGCTAGAAGCCGGTTATTGAAGTAAACCAGACCGGCGTTGGCCACTCCGAGTCCTCGGGTCGGGTCTAGGAGTCCTGCTAATCCACGGGCCTGAAACAGGAGAAGCCGGGCTATGCCGAAATGGCCGTGAAGCTCGCCGATGGCCTTTGGGAAGACAGGGCGACCGAGTTCTCGCTCTCGAACCAACCGGTTCGTCTCGGTAAACCGGCAGGCGTAGCTAACCGAACCTTGATCGAACCGGACTGCGTGAACCATACCGTCTCCGTCGAATAAATGATGACCGGAGACCGGCTGGTGAAGCGGGTTCGCTCCGTTTCTGACGTACACTCCCTGAATGCGCGGGGGCACTTTTCCGGTCACTGGAAGGTAACTCTGGACGGGATGCTCCGGCACCGGAGAGAAGTTACCGGCTATCTGGACCGCCGGGTCAGCGGTTTTCGGGAGCTGGTTCTGTCGGCGCTCGCGCTGGATCAAGGCGTTTTCCACCGCGTCTAAGGCCATAGCAGCGATTCTCTGAAATGGGTTCAATTCAGATGGCGAATTCTCATCATTATGCATAATCGAGTTCTGATTTATGTGATCCTTCGTCTCGGGGGTTACGACGGTGACATCGTTGCAGAGTTTCTGTGTCGGAGGAGGGTAGGACGGCGACTGTTTGGGGAAACGGAGAATCGGAGGAGAGTGAAGAGAGCAGGAGACGGTGGATTTCTTATTCACCGACATCGAAACAGAGGGAATGGTCTTATCGCCGGAGGAAAACGACAAGAACCCGAGTTCGGAAGCAGAGGAAGAAGAAGGAGAGTTTGGGAGATTGCGATCGAGAAGTTTGCTTGAAGATGAAGTAGCTAACGAAGTGGAGGGCATGATCGATGTTTTGGCACAAAAACGGTGCGTTTTGATGTGTTCGGTTTCTTAAAGACAAAGTTTTGTTTTGTCCATTAGAGAGGGAGACTGAGTGAGAGAGAGGTTTTCGCAGTCTTGCGAATACAGAGGAGGTGGAAGTCCCTGATATATACACAGAGACGAAAGGGTAGAAACGTCATTTACTTCTGTTCATTTGTTCTTTTTTTTTTCAATTTTTTTTCTTAAAACTCCGGATTATTAGTTTTGTTTTTTTTTTTTTCAAATTTTTTTCTTAAAACCCCGGATCTTAAATTAAAAAAAAAAAAAAAAAAACTCCGGATCTTAAGGATCTGAAATATTTTTCCGGATGTTCTTTTCTTAGAATCAAAAGATGGTTTGTTATTTTGTATATATATATATATATATATATATATATATTGTTTTGCACATTAAATTAGAAGTTTTATGGAAAATCACTTTATAAAAATCATACTATCTTTAATATTGATTTATTGTATTACATTATTAGTTTAAAATTTTAAGTGTTTGTTTTTGCCATAACGAGAATTGGAATCATTCACACGTACTGTAAAGATAAACATTTCTTATATATTGTACAAAAGACTACGTGGATATAAATAGAATTGTAGCATTAAGTTTAAAAATCTAAATATTTGTATTTATAGTAAAATATTTGCATCAAATATTTTTATAAAAAATAGTTTATTTCTCTTGAGATAAAAAAAAATTAAACAAAAGCCCACGTTTTAAAGTCAAATTAGACGCAATAATAAGACAAGTACGTTAAATCAATGTCTTTACCTACCACAAACAATAGAAAATGAGTTTTTACCTCTTGTTGGGGAAACATAATAAATATTTTAAAAAAATAAAGAGAAACAAAAAACAGTGAAAATAAAAATAAAAAATGGTTGGGAAAGTAGACAAAGTCAAAGGTAATAGAGAGGCAAAGTTTTAAGTCGTGAAGAAAATCCGGAGTGGGTTCGAGTTCGGTCGTGAAGCAAAAAATCTCCAATTCCTCACATATAAAATATGATTGCACCCAAAAAAACGTTGGTAACTAGATAAGATATAATTAGATTGCGATCTAAATTTAAATAAAACTTGATTCTATATAAACGAACCAAAAATTGAATATATATTATCTTTCTAAACTAAAAATATTAAACATAAAATAATCGAATAAATTTAAAACTAAAATATTGTTTCCTAATTAAGATAACAATCGAAAAAAATCCGGCTGTGGTGTCAAAGTGGGGTGGGAGACATCACATAATATAAAAAAAAAAATTGAAAAAAAAATAAAGAGAGATGGGTTTGCCAATCTTCTATATTTACATATTATATATTATATCTTGTGAGCAAAAAACGTCAACACGAAAAGTTATTGAAATATAAATCAACCGGAAATAGATTTTTCGAATTAAATAATCATATATATCAGGGAGATATATATATAAATATAAATAATTAAATAACGTATCTCTGTCGAAATTCAATATAGATAGTTTTCAGTGTGCATGCAATACCTTTTATTCACTAAAGAAGTAAACATTTATAAACCGTGGAGGAAACAAAAACTTCCATATATAATTTTTTTTTCCCAAAACATCGACCGTATCTACTTGGAAATCTGATCCAATTAAATTTTATAATATCACAAATTGTAGCATTTAAATAACCAATATAAAAAATCATCACAATATAACTTGGAATTAGGACCATAAGCAAAAACAAGAACAAAAGCACAATCGAGGGTTTGGTTTCCTTTGCTCCACGAGTGGTGGAAGATGAAGTTTGGCGAAGACCGCGTTGTTCCCTCTTAGATTGAAAACGTTTACCCCTATTTTTACACGTGTCACTTCATCACTCGCTCTCATTCAACAATATTTATTTATTTTAAATTTTTAAATTGGGTTATTATATAAATAAATAACAACAATAATATGGACAAAATCATGTGTCCCACGCGCTTGCTTTGGTAACGTCCACGCAACTTTGTGTTTTTCCTTTCTTTTTCTTTCAGTCAAAAATCGGTATTACTTAATTTAGTTTAATTAAATCAAATAGCATGAGAAAAAGCTGCTTGAATAACAAAAACACCAAACTTCGTGGAATTCGACGGACAAGTTAAAAATATATTTATTCAATGTGAAAACAAAGATATATCATCGGTTGGTCCAACGAACGAATTTAATTTTTAATATGATATGGATGGAAGCACAAAATTTAAAGAACATTTGTATTATCTTCACTGAAAAGGAATAATAATTCAAATATTTTGCACATCTTAATTGTTAGTATAGAATTGTGACAGATTTATGCATACAACTCTTACTAGAAATCATGCAAACCCTTTGTTGTAGTTTTGCAAATATCTTCTTTCTTGTATAAAATTAAAAAAGAGAACATAATATAGATATTTCGATTTATATTATTTTTTATATAAAAATATTCTCTAACGCTAGTGACAAATAGTATAACCATATACAACAAATATTATCTCTCTTAATCCCATTGGGCCAAATATTATAAAAAAAAAACAAAAAAAAACTCTCTCTCTCTCTCCCTATATATATTTATACATATATATATATATATATATATTCATCTAAATAAATGTTTCTCCAATCGAATTACTAGATATGTTTGTCGATCAAATGTGTTTATGTTTGAATTATCAGCTTATTTTATAACATATTTTTAATAAAAAGAGTAATACAAGTATATATTCGCTCCCTTATTTAATTAATTTTATTTATTGAATTTAAAATAAAGTTAGTTAGGACCATTTATCTATTAAGTATCCATCCACTCAAAATGGAGCAAATCATAAAGGGCATCACAGTCCACCACCAATAATCACCTGAATTAATTTAATATGTTTTGTTGGTCCGTCGAGGGGGCATGCAATTTTCAGGTACCCTATTTCATGCACAGCACTCAATTAATTACCTTTTGTAATTTATTTTTCTCTAATTAAAAAAACTTTCAATTTGGTAAAACCAATAACCATAAACGAACTCGAAACGGTCTAACTTCTAGTATAAATTATAAGTACGTGTAAGTATATTTTAGTAAAGTTTTATTTATTACAAATTATGGTCTAGCCATGAATATATATATATATATATATATATATATTGAAATTATAGTATATGTGTGCATAAATATATCATACCATGGATTTGGTACACTTTACAATATGTTACATGCAATATGCCTCATGTGGCCACATGGTAGAACATGCTTTACCCCATATCATCTTAATTTCTCGAAGATCGATCCCCTATTATTGTCAACTAAAAAAGAAATATACATATACATAAATAACCAAAATTGATTTTTAAAATTGCGTAAAATAAAATAATAACTTTGGAATTGCTGAAATCCGTTGAAGAGAGGATATGGGCGGTCCACCAATCTCTATAAATTAATACCAACTAATATGTTAGTAACTACTACATGATTGGCCCGAAAACAATTATTACGAGTAACATGCATGCTGCTTGTTATTGTTTAATATTTAAAGAAAATATTATTCTAGCTCTAAATAAGACCTCTAAATCTGTAATTAATGCACAAAACAAGTATATGATGAGGGGCTACCTTCATTGATAATTTCAAATATATTCGACAAACCATGTTCATGCGAACTTCGTATAGATACAAAACTATATAAATTAATCAATTGATAATAAGAATTTTTGGTGCGACGTCGATGAGCTCGAATTTCTAATACATTAATATACTCACATTAGTCACGTAGCTAATTTTCGTTAAATAAATAAATAAGTAAATAAAATTAGATATGGAAAAGCGGCCATATGCATGCATGTACCATATATACATACAAGCTGCATGTTACATGCATATGCATACATATATCTATTATGTAAAAGTGCATACCCGTATGTATTATATAAATTCAAATACAGGACATGTAGAAGCAGTGAAGATTTTGACCAACCGACTTTACCTGAAAAAACTGCCGAAAATCCTACGAACTAAACGGATCTTTGTGGGCAAATTGTTTTATTATATGAATTATCTAATAGATGCTTTGGTTAGGTCATAATAAATACAAAAAAATAATACAATTATATACTTAACATTATTTAATATGGCCGTCCCATGAGTCAAATAATTGATAGTATATAATGTAACATAAAGCATATGGTTCATATAATTGTCGAATCACATCTTTATAACTATCACGGATTATAATATTAGGTAACTCTGCAATTAATATCGATTAAATTAGTCTATTATTTAGAAAATATATATAATTATGATATTATATATATATATATATGACTTATTAGTATTCTAAGAATAATAATATAGGATAATATATATTGGAATGATATTCTACTGATGCAAGATTATCAAGTTAAGATTGAGGAGAAGTGCAAATGGGTCCAGGGAGAAGAAATTTCATTGGCACGAGATACTGCAGCAAGAAAACGTGAGGAGTTTCCGAATCTCATGTGTGGCCCTTTGGAGATCGTGTTCATAATTTTGTAGGTTGAAGCTTTCCACATGGTTCCACAATAATTAATTTCCACCATTGCTATAATATACATATATACACATAATGACCATACCGATATAATTTACGATTATTTTTACCGATATATTGACATGTGTAATTAGAATTACACACGAGAGCGAATTTGCTTTGATTTGGAATAGAATTTTCACTATTTGAATCCAAGATTGAGTGGTTTAACCGGTAAAGAAGATAACAAAATTCATTCCCAATTTGGATTCGCGTTCTCACTTGGGGTAGAGTATTCATAAAAGATGTAGTTAGTCTAAATACTCGATGAATTTTCAAAATATATATAAAAAAAATTCACTATGTGAAAATCAACTCGTATGATGAAATTTTAATAAAAGATGAGCGTTCTTCCATATTTATTTGTCAACTTCATAAAATTAATCGAGACATGTGACGTCATTGGAATTAATCTTATTTTTCATCCTATTCCACCAAAAACTCACATTCGAATACATAAGCTGAAAGACTAAATTAGAACGGAGAACAAAAGTAGCCGTTAATTCTGACGGCAAACAACTAACGGAAGAAAGAAACAATAAGCTGCAAACATAACTGAGAAAGCGTGTCTCTCCTACTAAACCGAAACCCTAGATCTTGTCTCTTTCTTCTTGTCCTATCTCGAATGGATTTTGCCAAAAAACAGAATATTTTTTTTTTTGGTTGAATTGAATGCCAAAAAAAATTATGTTTTTTTTTTAATATCCCTAATGGAAATAAACACGTGAGATTTATTTGTGTTATAAGTTACAACAAAGGCCAGGGGTCTTCACCTGTACACAAACATTCGCCTTATATTAACTTCTACAGATTTGCGAAAGTCGTATATGTAGAAGTTGCTGCACATTTATCACGTGCATGCATCATGCATGTATATGGCACGTACGGACAAATTGAAAACAATCTAGAGATGAGAACCACGTAAAAATGAAGGGAATCATATAGGATAATAAAAAACCACCACAGAAAACGATCTTACAAAAAACACATGTTGTCGGAAACCCTACAAGTCTCGAATTCTCTCCGTTGTTAATTCCGCACACACATCACGAGTGGTCACATAAAGACGAATGTTTCTTCCAAAATTTTATATTATATTTAGAGAAATTTTCGAGATTAAACCACAAGTAATCAATCACTCGTTTAATATATATATATATATATATATGTGTGTGTGTGTGTGTGTTATAATTATAAAAATCATAGATACTGTAAAGTGGATGAAACGCGTAGATATATAATTTATAAACAGAGTTCGTCCTTTATCATAACTAGTTCAGTGATTAGAGACGTGTCAAAATTAAACAACTTTATTCTAATTTTTTTTTTCGTGTACTTTTTGTAAACTCATTTAAGGTGTAAGCATCATATCAGTGTGTTAAAGCTTTTGTTTAATGTTATTTGCTTAATTAATATTTGATTAGTTTGCCTGAAATTCCACAAGTGTTTACATTCACCACAGATGTAAAGTTATATAACATTTGTTCTATAGATTTCTCTTTGGTAAAATCGGTTATATATACAGTCATCCACTAAATAATTTATTTTTATATACGATTAAGTATCTATTAATGACTACTGATTTCTCTAAATAAAATTTTATAGATACATTATCTTTTTTTATATATTTCAATTAATTTTATTAGTTTCAGAGTTCGACTTTCCGGCTTTATAAAAAAATTAAAATTTAAAATTTAATTAAAAATAATTCTTGATTTTATAAAGTGTAATTTAATAAATATATAAACCACAAAAACATATTTTTGAAGTACCAAAATTTATTAAAAGAGAAAATCCATGGTTGGGTTTTACAGCAGAAACGTTTTTGGGCCTCAGCCCAAACCAGTTTGGGTAATAATACAAACCCATTAATACACCTAATTTTGATTTAAATCTCTCTCTCTCTCTCTCTCTCTCTCTCTCTCTCTCTCTCTCTCTCTCTCTCTCTCTCTCTCTCTCTCATAAATTCATATTATATTTTTATCTGATATCAATAAAGGTAAATGTAATTTCTTAGTCTTTAAAAATTTTAGAAAAATATTTTAAATTTTAAAAAAGATAAGTTATATTCTTATAGTTATGTCAGATACGTACGAAACACTACAAGAAAATCATCGTATAGCTACGGAACTTGCGACGGAAAATTCCGTCGCATACAAAATTACGACGGAATATGACGGTTTAACGACGGAATCAAAGAGTCGTAAAATCCGTCGAAAATTTGCGACAGAATGCGACGGAAATTTCTGTAGCAAACGCTAATTTTAATTATTTTTAATTTAATTTATTTATTTTTTAGAATTAGCTACGGATTTGCGACGGAAATTTCTGTCGCAAATACTAATTTCATTTATTTCGTTATTTTCGATGAAAATTTTCAAATTTTCGCGGTTTTTATTTCGTTTTGCGACGGATGGCGACGGTAATTTCTGTTGCAACACGAAATAAAAGCACCGACTTCGTCTTCTTTCTTCAGACTTTGAAGTTTCCAAAAAAAAAATCTTAATCTTCTCCAATTTTCTTCCAACGTTGTTTTCCTTCAAGATATCTCCAAGATATATCAAGGTATGTGTATATGTATATGAATGTGAATATGTATATATGAGTATATATGGATTATATATATATATATTTTGTGTGTGTATATATGTGTATGTATATTTTGTGTGTATTTATGTTTATGTGTTGTTAATGTGTGTGTATTGTATGTATGTATGTATGTATGTATGTATGTTTGTGCGTGAATGTGTTTATATGTGTGTGAATGTGTATGTGTATGTGTGTGTGTTTATGTATGTGTATTTGTATGTGTGTATATGGGTGAATATGTATGAATGTGTGTGTGTAATATATATGTATATATATGTACGTGTGTGTATGTGTGTTTATGTATGTGTGTATGTATATATATATATATTTGTGTATGTGTATGTAAATTTATGTGTATGAATGTGTGTTTATGTATGTGTATATGTATATATATGTAAATTTATATGTGTATATGTATAATATATGTGTATATGAATATATGTATATGTAAATATATGTATATATGTGTATACATATGTGTAATATATTATTTTTTATATCTTTTTTTAAATTTTAAAAAATATTTGCGACGGATTTTTCCATCCCTTTTCCGTCACAAATTTGCGACGGAAATTTCTGTAGTTTTCCGTCGCAAAACGCAGATTTCGTCCGTCGCAATTTTTGCGACAAATTAACGATCGACAAACTTTTGCGACAGCGTTTTACGGACGAAAATTGTTCCGTCGCATTCCATCGCAATTTTATAATTACGACAAATTTTTTTTATCTTTACGACAGATTTTTCCGTCGCAATTTCGAACGTTTCTTGTAGTGGAAATTCGACGATTAAAAAGGTCACAAAGCTCGAATTTTCTCTCTCAGCAATCTGAGTTTATAAAACTGAATTCAAATTCAAGTTGTTTGAATTTTTAATAACTAACCCGCATATGGAACTCAGAGGATGATTCTATGTTATTAAAGAACTCTGGTCTCTGGTCTGAATATGAAATGCCAACTGTGAAGAGCGAAAATAAATAGATAAATTAGTGTATTAAATATTTCAACTGCTTTAAATTTAATACACGTATTTTATATTCAAACTTATAACATAAAATTTAAAGGAAAAATGTTCGAATATAAAGTATCAAATAGTTTGGTTATTTAAATTGTTTTATGGTAAATTTTGATAGTTTAGAGTTTTAGATTTTCCCAACTTGCAATTTTTAAGATGGAAATTTAATATTCAAATGATTAGACATGTCGGATTCATTTCCTTTTTCTTAGGGAGAAAAAAATGGTCAGTGAGCTGACAAATCCTCCTTTTTGGAAAGATTTTGTGAGTCAAGATTTCTAGTCATTTCAAAATATAATATATATTATCAATGTGTGTATATATATATATGTAAGCATATGTGTATATTACAACGAAATAAATCATTTCAATTATTGTCGATTAGATAACAATTCCAAATTTTTATGACATTTTTAGTGATCGGATTTGTTATTGGTGCCAAAATATAATCGTTTTTAATCGAATATCTTGAATTAAGGTATAAACTAATCTTAACATCAAGAATGAGCTATGAGATTTGAAAAAAAAAAATACACCCCTTCCCAACTTTAAAATTCAATCTCGAGATAGAATTTTATCGATTGAATTACTAAAATTTGAGATGAAAATGATCATTATAATATCATTTTCATACTCTCTAACATGGTTTTTAGTCGAACAAAAATTAATATGATTCATTTTATTAGAACCTTAATCACTTATGTACCTTGTTATTAAAAAAAAACTACGTATATTCGATCTCAGAATAAATGGGGGTCACCAATTATTGCACAATAATTAATGTCCACAATAAATGATTAAATAAAAGTCAACATCTTTTTTCCCTGTACGTTTCCTTTTTTAATTTTGCTAATTTTGAATAAATTACAACTTCATTTTCCTCATCACGTAAATTAGATGTCTTTTTTTTCATAATCATTAACGTTCAAACCAAAACCATTGTGATCCTGTGTCACTCGTGACCTGTGAAAATAAATTTAATGAATATTCTATCTTTTCATATAAGATCAATAACTATTAACAACATTCAATTTGATTTTTTTAATATATTTCTACAATATATGCGTAAAAATATAAACATGTGTATGTTCTTTTGGACTTCCTAGAAGAATTATATATATAAGAAGATTTTTGTTTAAGATGAATAATTTTATTAAGTATATATAATTAACTACAAAGTCTTTGGAAACTTCCTCTTATTTAATTTATGTGGTACTGATGCGATAATCGTTGCTTCATCAAACAAGGTGTGCTTCGAGTCTTTGACCAAAATAATACAAGCTACGAATTATATTTTATTTTCAGATAATAACAACAATAATAATTTAATATTTGGTCCGTCAAGACTGCACAATTAAGTTAACGGTCAACATGTCTCACCTATAGGCTATAGTCTCGACCGTCAAAAGTGCATATATATATATATATATATATATATATATATATATATACACAAAAA